TACGATGGGGGCCGAGAAGTAACGGTGGGGCATGCTGCTGAATTTATAGAGAAACGATTGTATGTGACAACAGATGAACGCCATCGCATACTTCAGGCTACGCCTGGGCCTCTAAAGCAGATGCTGCAGGACGCCCACATCACGGGCCCTGTACCACCAGACGTCGAAGCCATCCGCAAGCAAACGGGAATTACGGTTCGATACATGGCAGAATTTGTGGAAGATCCAATTCTTTGCAATATTGGCAGGCCTCAATCAAGAGGACGGATCTTTCGCGTATGCAAAGGATTATATGAGAGCCGAGTTTCATTCCGATGACTGTCCTGATGGATTTTCTCTGGGCGCCTATGCGTGCTTGCGGCCACTTATAGTTGGAGAAGATGACGGTGAAAACCCGGCTGCCTTAGGCTGTTCGGACACCTGGGGTGGCCTGAGTTTCCGAGCGGATGATTTGACCAGAATAATAGGCCAATGTGCTGTATACATCGCGAGGCACTGCTCGGACTATGCCAGGTCGCCAGGAGGCTGTGCCTATTTTGGAGACCTGGTGCAGAAGTTATATGATGACGGTTTTACTTTCCAACCGTACGCCTTGGCTGAATGCCGGCAGGGTCAATCGATGTTTTGGGGATTTCCCCCAAAGACAGCCCCAAGATTGTTGGAACACTAATCCACGCTCTGTGGGACAAACACAATAAAAGATCTCTACGAGAGATCAATGGAAGAGAAATGCCCACACCGATATTCTATAGGGCATGTCAGGGACATTCAACGTCACCGCTTCGATTGAAAGAATGTATGTCCCGTGCGACCCTGGCCAAGTGCGACCCTGGCCAAGTCAGGAGTCACGGATCTCTTCTACATATTACGAGACTACAGACATTTTTGGAATCTACGAGTGGAAATGATGGCTTTCCGACGGGCAACTCTGGGCTTTGTCATGCCGCAGATTACGATTTATTGCGTTTGCTTCCGGCCTACAACTGCCCGACTACGCCTGGCCCCATCGGATTTTCCTCCGTGGCTAAGCCAAAGGAGATATGGACAAGCGCCCACCATAAAGACTGTAGCATCTATGGGCAACCAGGCTCGGAATGGGGAGCCGCCAAAGGTGGGTGCCTTGCACGTGGAAGACATGCGCCACCTCTGGCCATGTCTCCCCAATCTCAAGCATTATGAACAATGGGATATTATCAATGTTTTCACTGGCAGAGTACTCACCCGCTTCTCGGACAGAGTATGCCCAGACGGGACATTGGTGTCCCGGGAGGTACCACAATTCGCGGACATCGACAAAGCTGTCTCCCTCGTGAGGCAGGCGAATCAGATGCGCTGGACGGTGCTCTTTGACCGTGAATTGTCTTCATACGAGGTCACTTTCGACAACGCGTCGATTATTGCCTGGGTGAATACAGACGAGAGACTGATTATTAATTGGGACCACGAACCAAGATTGGAAACCTCGATTCAAGATCGAATTATATCTACCCCGTGGGATGACGATGGGAGATTCCTTTGTTTCCGTTACCACTGGGCGAGGACAGGTTTTGCCAATTGTCCCGTCTGTAATTGCCAAATCAGGTGCAAATATGGTTTCACACGATTACATGACCCAGACATGGAGGCACAAAACTATCCCGCAATCCCTTGAGGCACATGGTATTTGGATAATTATGGAGGATGAAGGAACTCTGTCATGGGATTGTCATGTATACATGGGTGCGCGGATGAAGAGACAAGGGAGAGTTTCTGCTAACGTTGCGAAAAACGTCGCCAACAACAATCAGCAGGAGCGAAAATGTGTCACCAGCTTTGTCACAATGGCGGCTAGCCGCACAATATTTGGCAACGGCCAGCAGGGAAACTTTCCAGCTTGGATCCCAGAAAACGCCGAGGCTCAGCCTCCGGCGCGACATGCTCCTTTCTTTCAATACTTCAGGCCTTTGGTCAAGAGATTTATATCGTGGCTAGAACACTCGGCCACAAATGTACAGAGGCGAACCCCGCCCATTAACAAATGGTGGCCAAAATTGTGGGCGACTGGTTTTGATCAGTGCGCTCGCCCCAGATCCTGCCCAGCACTACAAGCATTTCACTGGCCTGATGAACCACATGACTTGATCACTCCTAGGATTGGCTGGGCACAATGGTTCAACAACATGAGGAGAGCAAACCTCTTTGTTCCTACACTTGCCACAATAGATGATACCATACAGTTTGACATGTCATGGTTCGGCGTATTACCTGAAGATACTGGAAACAACGCCAACAACGACAACCCTCCTGCGAGGTAACCGGTCGCCTGGGAGAACAATTTTAGAGCGCGACCGACTCGCAGTTCTCACTCCGTTGCAAGACGGGTCGGCATGCGTCGGGACCATCGTCTTATTGTTCCTGTGTTGCGACATGCCACCGGCTCAGCCGCGAGAGCGCGCGAACAGACACAAATGGATCTTGATCTCAAAGTGATCAGCGGGCCTAAGGCCGCGTCGATAACTGATGGACTCCTCACACTTGATGAACCTGAGAGACACGTATACTTTCACCATGAGGACCATCTGATTAAAATAAGATTTTTCGGGGACGAAGTTCGAGAGGTTGCCGCTCATTACATAATTGAGCACACGGGAATAAACCCTACTACACCCGGCAGGGTTACCATGACTGGAACGGCAGACTATGCGATCCCGGCGATCATCAAGAAAATAGTGGATGACTATTGGTTAGCACCAACGCAAAACATGGCACTGGGCCTTCGACCCATAAGGATTTTCGTGATATTCGTGAGATAATCAGCTATTTCATATCGGAGGACCACTTTATTGGTTACCCGGGGCGAATCATTCGTCCCGAGATGATGGGCACGGATGAAATTGAATCAAAGAAACGAACCGACGCATATGCCTTGGACTGCCGTATTCGCGCGGCTGTTGAGACAGTCGACATTATAGAAACATGGGCCCACAAGATGGGCAGGAAAATGCAGAATGACGTCCGTCGCCACGGTGCTATAACACAAGAGGCCATAACTTGGCTACAGGATAAGTATCCTGACCCCGGTGCCGATCTTCAGGACAAGGAAGATGGCCTTTTCCGCACTGCATGCGGACTATATGGTGTCGCTGCAGCAACTGCTGCCAGAAGTATATTGCAATTTATGAACAATAGGGATAATGGTCCTGAGCACGACGGCGAAGCCGAGATCGTGGGGCCACGCGCGCCTGCTGGACCAAAGGCAAGACCTTTGTCTCGCACGCCGTCTCTTCGACCTGGCATCTCAGATGCTCAGGCGTCTGAGGGGGCCACTGGTTCCCCACGTTCCGTCGCCGGCTCAGCCGCGCCGACCAGAGAGGCAAACCTACAAGATCCCAACGCGAGGGATCGGTCGGATTTGCGACGCGCGCGCGACGCAGCCATGGATGATGCCTCTGTCGCGGCCGCCGATGATGCCGCCGGCCTTGCGCTGCCCGCGGCGGTGGGCGCCGCCGCAGGCGCTGTCTCGGATGCTGCCGGCAGCGTCGCAGGACACGGCTCCGCATGCGACCCTGACCAGTCCTACCCGACCCACGCGAATGGAATCTTTGTTGGGCATCACCTCCACCGGAACAGGATCACGTGGCTGACTAACGATGAATGGTACAATTTGCCTCACTGGACCTGGCTGTCAAAGTGGGGGCGCGACCATCATTTCCCGCCGAGAGAGGCGGCACTGGTTGTGGGTACTGACAGAGAGAGGGCGCTCTCGCACGCCTCGTGGCATGGGCGCGCAGACGGGAGGATGGGCGACTTCAGATCCGCCGCCTCCAGTGCCGCCCAGGCGAGAGAGTTCATGGGATCCGTTCGCGGACCTCAACTGAGCGCGGCCCGCGCGACTCCGCCCGCGGCAGGCGCATACAAAACGCTTTACCCACGCGCTAAGCGCGTTGGGCGCGGACCTCTCCACTGGTCGGCCAAGCCGGTCCAGCGGAGAGAAACTATTTATAGCGATGGTGGGAAACGTCGAGCCTCTTCGGCCCTTGGCCCCCTGGCAGCCACCGTTGAGCCGTAAAAGCTTTTTTTGGGGTTGGCTCCGGTGGTTGTGCAAATGCACAGGCCGGGGGCGCCGTGGCTGGATGGGCTCTACGCGGCCCGCCGCGGGGGGGGTAAATATGCTCCTCTCCGCCATATACTCAATTAGAACTTAACTTAGCTTGCATGCAATGCACTGTCCGCGTGAACTGAGGCTGCGTTTCTGCAGCTGTATAACTGCTCAAACCATCCGACCTCGGCTGGCAGGAGAGAAAATGAGCGCGCTGGGGCGCGCGGGCGATTCGTCGTCGTCCGTCCTCGGCCTTCCTCCTCCCTTCCTATTCCTGATAGAGTGGTTTAGCTTAACGGATATCTGTCTTATCGATGTCTCGTCCCGCCTCCGCTCTCCCTGAGCAGAGTGAACATGAGATCTTAATTCCTTTGTCTTCTTACCCCGATTCTCAGAGGAAATACTAACTGAATTGCTCAGTTGCTGAAGCTTCAGCGTCGCAGACTGATGATCCCCGCGAGAGGGGGGGGGGGGGGGGCAACGGACGTAGTAGAGGCATGCCGAACTCTGAAACGACGGGGATTCCGCGCATGCATGACTCCATCGGCTCGTTGAGCTCATCCAGCCTGTATCCGCACAGGTGACAACGTGGACAGTTGCAATCGGGGGAACGAAGCGCGCACATGATTACAATATTTTTGGAATGTGTTGTGCCGAAGTCGGTGGGCATGGGACATGCAAATCGCACTGCAGTGATATCTGAAGATGCACACAACGTTGCTACGGCATTATTGTGTTTTGGACCTCCGCACACATCGTATACAAACCCTGTGCACCGAGTCCTTCACGAAGCCCGCCAACTGTAAAACGAACGCGCAAGCATGGCCACGATGAAGAGGGGTGACGAGGGGTGAGGGGGATATGGATGCCGATGAGGATGCAGAGGAGGAGGAGGAGGACGATGACGAAGAGGAGGGGACAGGCGCTGCGGAATGGTTTCCACACCATGGACGACCTGCTCATTTCGCCAGACCACGAGAGGGAGCTGCTCCTTCTGAAGCAGGTCACACGGGGAGCGAACGCCCGTCGTCCGCCTCCCGTCCTCCACGGCCCCTCCACGGCCTCCTTCGGCACCCCGGCCTCCGCTCCCCGTTCTCCACGGCCTCCGGCCCCCCGTCCTCCCGGCCTCCGCCCCCCGTTTTCCACAGTTTCCTTCGGCACCCCATGGCCCATCCCCACCCCTTCCCGTTCGTCCCCCGTCCTTGCCAGGGCCCCTTTCCCCCTCCCCCGCCGCCCCTGGCTCTCCGCATCCGCGCCCGCGCACGCCGTCTCCGTCTCGTGGAGGGGAAGGAAAAGGAGGAGAAGGAGGAGAAGGATGAGGAGGAGGAGGAGGAAGAGCAGGAGGGGGGGGGCGGGGGAGCAGCGGGAGGGGGAGGGGGAGGGGGAAGGAGAGGGGGAGGGGGAGGGGGAGGAAGAGGAGGAGGAGGAGGAGGAGGAGGACGAGGAGGAGGAGGGGGAAGAGCAGGAGGACGATGATGAGGAGGAGAAGGAGGAGGACCAGTGTAAACCCAAGAGTCATCAACGATGTTGGAATTCACCTTCCCTCCAAGCTCCCTTTTCATAGGCTCCGGTACATTTCCATTGAGGGAACCAGATTTTGAAGATCCAGAAGCATGCCAAAACATTGTTCTCGGGATCAAAATTGCGGGCCTTCCGGATGGCCGGCGGGACGGGCCGAAGCCCTAGGGGGAGTTCTTTTGGAAAAAGAGCCAAAACCAAAACCGAAAAGGTCCAGCACGCCAGGTACCCTTGCGATGAATCGACAGGTGGCGACGGATCCTAGTGAACTTGGGCCCATCCCGCCACCGTGCTTGGGTTTTAGGTCAGAGGCCTTTTGTATATGCGTTGGGGTGTCGTGGGGAGCCCGTCGGGGGTTTCTTGGAGGCGGTTTGGGCGCCTCTTGGGGGCCGCGTAGGGTATCTTTTGGGCCTCTTGGAGGCCGCTTGGGCGCGTCTTGGGGCTTCTTGGGGCCTGTTGTCGGCCTCTTGGAACCTCCCGGGGGCTTCTCGGGGTTTCTCGGAGCGTTTTTTGGGCAATCTTGGAGCCCTCTTGGGCCATCTTGAAGGCGTCTTGGGTTGTCTTTGGGCGGTCTTGTGAGTTTCTTGACTTTAAAGTGAGCTGGGCGTTGCATGTGCATAGAAACGAACGAGCGTGCATCCGCGGCTGCTTGGCTCAAACTGGCCGGCCGCCCAGATCTGACTACACCTCAGCGCGAGGTGTACCATGTGCCATCGATACCAAAATTGCTTGAGATGGCTCGCCCCCTACAACTGGGACTATCGTTATTTACGGCACAACAGAGCGGGAGCTGGGCTTCGCCTAAGGCGAAGCTGCTAGCTGGACCTCCCAATCCCTATCAAACTTGGTAGCGGAGCTGGCCTATGGTGGTCAGCTTTAGCTTTACTCCTCACCATCCACGGCACTATCTGGTGGACTACTGACGTGGTGGAACATCAGTGTGCAGTGGGTTTGCGCGGAGGAATGTATACAATTACGCAGCATAGCGAGGACACTGTAGTGACACCTCTGCCTAGGCGGAGACCTCTTACTTGCGTCCTACATCCATGCGCTACCACACTCCTGAAGTCCACCCACCCATTCCAATTGGAAACTTCTTCGAAAACATAATGCATGGAAACATGCGATACGACATTGTGCCGCCTCCACCCCCACGCAGGCTTATTACGACCACATATCGAAAACCCCAACCGACTACATCCGACCACGACTTGCGAGGCCATTGGGTTGGTATTACTGCATTTGGGCTCACATGGGTCGCTATCGGGTGCGCGGTAGGTCATAAGCGGGGCGGAGACGACACAAGAACGACCGGCCCCCATTGGGACCCGTCCAGTCAGGTATTTTTCCGCGAATTCGTCCGCGAGGTACATGTCTGGATCAACGTGACCACAGGCAACATGACGCCCCCCCAACAAGCTGCAGCCTTGCAGCGTGACTTGAGAGGCCTCGCGAGGACCATAGCCATGAGAGAGTTTCCCCAGCAATATCAATTTTGGCGTTAACATAGGTGGCCGCCATGCCGATGGTGTCACCTATATCGCGTTCCTCTTAAGCACGAAGTTCGAGAATCTAGAAGAGAAACGCCAACTCAACTCTGGTACAGCTCTCATTGACTTCCGAGTCCATGCGGGAGAACGGATCGACCAGACTCCGGCGCGCTTCGAGATCGCCCGCTATGAAGCTGAAACGGCATTTTTAATATTTCCGACATCCAAATTCTAATAATTATTTTATTCAGAGCCCCTGGAGTGGGGACATCGCGCGCACGGCAACTCCTGCAGCCACTAAACCACCACATGCCGAGGGACCAGCAACAGTTGGACTCCCCACTTGATGAACGCGCGAGGTCATATGCACACATGGCTGAGGGACCCCCTGGCAGCATTGGTGGCATCTTCAGTCACGGCCACCGAACCGAGACCTTCCACGTAGAGGCTAACGCAGGGCAGCCGGCTAATAACGTCTGGAATGACGATCCGCAACCAACGGAGACCACTGCGCTACTGGCTCAGATTGGTGGACCGGCTTCGTTCGCCAGGCTCCAGGGCCAGGTTTCGGGGGCCGCCCGACGCGGCATCCCCCGCGCAAGCCGCGACCCCAACGTGCTCTGCGGGGCAACCTGCTGAGCCCGACTTCGACTCCAGCCTCGACACCGACGCGTCTTCGGACGACGAGGCTGCTGCCCTTGACTGCTCCGATGTGCCCGCGTACCTCGCGGAAGAGCAACAGGCGCAATGGTTTTTCTTGGGATACCAGAAGCATAAACGCAGGTGGGGGCGATTTATGAAGAAGCCAGGTCGGAAGGCACGGCGCGTCGTCCGACGTGCACTCGAGGGAAAAGGCAAGGGTCGAGGTAAGGGTGGAGGCAAGCGTCGGCGATTGCGCGGCAGAGGCACGCCAGCATTCCTAGCATCCCTTACCAGGCCACAGCATGAAGAGATATTCTTAGGTGCAGGCAGGAACCGTAGGCATACATCAGGAAAAGGTAAGGGACGACGGGGAAGCCCGAAGGATGCCAACGGCAAAACTATGGAGTGCGACATATGCCATAGCACACAGCATTTTCGCTGCGAATGCCCTCAGGGCGATGGGGGGATGTGCGTGTGTGTGTGTGTGTGTGTGTGTGTGTGTGTGTGTGTGTGTGTGTGTGTGTGTGTGTGGGTGTGTGTGTGTGTGTGTGTGTGGTGTGTGGGGGGGGGGGGGGGGGGGCAGAGGTCCGTCGATGCATCTGGCTCAAGCTGATTCGGATATACAGCGCGTTGACTGGGAGTCACTTTTGGCCGACCCTGCCGACAGCTCAGCTGCAGTTGTTAACTTCATGGCTGCCAGATATTTGAGTGCCAGTATGTCCTTCGAAAATTGCGCCTACGGGCCGTTCGAGGAGGCGCTCGCTGGCCACAATGATATTGATCTGGCAGACTGACTGGGCATGCCCATCGCGGGGCAACCTGCTGATATTGAATTAGTCGAACTTCCACGCGCCCGTCGAAGGAGATGACGACGCGGCGGGGGCACCCGCGGATTCAGAAGCCGTCACGCCTGCAGCAGAAGAGGAAATACAGCTGATGTTTCATTATCGGGCTATTGGCAATCCGACAAACATGGAATTGAGTGATGGCGACCCGCGGGGAAGCCCGCGAGACGTTAGCGACCTGTCTGAACGCGTTCGATATGAGCTCGGCCACAACCAGGAATTTCAGTATACATTCGTAGCTTCGGGCCGCTCCATGAGCCGCCAGGTGCGATCGGCAAGCCGCCAGTCCTGGAGACGCGAGCATTGCGCCGACGACGAGACGAAGACTGGGAAGATGGCGCTCGTCTGCTACGTCGCGGTCGGGTCCGCAGTGGCTCGCCCGACCGCGCGCGCGCGCTCCGGCGGCGCCCGCTCTAGCAGTCTTCAGCGGCCTCACCCCCTAGTGCGGGGGGCCAAAGAACCCCCCCCCCATGGAAGGCCAATCGACCCGGCACCCCCCCGAGGAGGAGGCGTCCGCGGGGGCGTCCGCCTCAAGGGGGGCGAGCTCATGAAGAATATCCAGAAGACGAAATACAGCGATTTGCTGGCTACTCGGATGCTGGATTGGCCAGTCAGCGCAAAGACCCAGATACAATGCAACAGTAGTTGCAGAAGGGTTGGACTGAGCACCATATTCGTCACTGGCACACTCCTCGCAAGGTCGATCGAGATGAAAGAAGGCGAGATTATTCGCTAAAAAAGACAGGGGCTGTCAAAACACAAAAAAAGATTTTTACTGCGCGACCTCGAGAGATCCATCATCGAGGAGCGGAAACGTTACAGAGGCGTTGCCCGCTCTTGCTTCGAGCATGCCGACCGCAGGCTCGGCTGCCCCAAGAGACGCCCACTAAGGAACCCTCGCTGCCGCAAGACACCGCGGGTCTGGTCTCACGGTGATGGTCGGGGTTGCTGTGCCGATCCACATGCAACACCATGCAACGAGCAGTTGACGGCGGGCGACTACGAACAAGCTATAGCTCCAGAAATATCCCAATCCCTGAAGACATGGGAGAATCTTTCACCTGTTCATTATCTAAAGTTTTTCAACCGCGATTCCAATGCGGGGGAACCTGCTTCGCCCAAACCAGAAGAAGACGACCGACAAGGAGATGGCGAAGCTGAAAATGTGGCTGAAGCGGTGGACCCCGCGGCAGCAGCTCTTGCAGGGTGCGCCTCGGATTAATCTGGCGCCCTCTCCACTGTCACGGGCGTCACTCACGATGCGGACACTCCTATAGATCCTAGGTACATCGTCGCTGAAGACATGGATCCTTTCCCAGAAAGAAGGGTCGCTTACCGCGCTGGATCTGCAGGTTGGGCAAGGGGTTGGGCAAGGACTACTATTGACCAAAGGCTTTGCTCTACTAAATATAACCTGTCCATGAGGGAAAAGGCCACCATCGGGAATCTGGCACTCAGAAAGCCCGATGGTGTGGACCTTAACCCTGGCAGAGGGCCCGCGCGATATG